ATTCATCTTCTAGAAACTCATAGTCTTCGTATTCACTCGTGTTGCCTTCAGTTTCAGATAATTTGTTTTTTACCGAGTCCTTTACTTCCAACCATTTTTTCAATCGAGTCGAATCTACTACACCTTTATAGGGTAATTGTGTCACCTGGCAATTTTCTACATCAGATATTTCGTAACGATCATTTCCTAATTGCTTCTGAACGATGTATGGGCCGCGGTACTTCGGTATTAATTTCTTATTGACTCCTGGGGTTGTATTAACATTCTTTAAAACAACTAAATCTCCAGGTTTGAACGATTTTGGCGGTTTGTGATGAACATGGAAATACTTTAAGTTATTCTCCTGAGACTTTTTTATGTTTTCTGATGCATCCTCCCTCATTACCTTTAGATCCCTATTAGTATCCTCGTATCTGTCCTGTAAGTATTCTGTCAGTTCGTCTACTATCTCTCCTCGTTGTTCTACTCCAAATAGTAAGATAGCCGGCGATTGTTTCGTAGCACTGTGCAGCGAATTGTTGATGGCAAACTCCACTTGCGACAGTTTATCTGTCCAATCACAATGTTCCGTTGGCTCAGATAGTTTCGATAGCATAGCCCTCAAATCTCTATTTATCCTTTCTACTTGGCCGTTCGACTGTGGGGAAGCTACTGAAGTTTTCACATGAATAATATTTCTTTCGGTTACAAATCTATTGAATTCATCGGAAGTAAAACACGTACCGCGGTCACTAATGATTCGCCTAGGTCGACTATAGTCCCTAAAATACTTTCGTAAGGCACAACATGCTTCCTTTGTCCCTGGCGAGTTTACAGCGTAAAGCCTAGTAAATTTTGTAAATGCATCTACTACTGCTAGTATGTGTCTACGCTTGGATCTAATTGCTGGTAAAGGACCAAAATGGTCGATATGCAAGGTGTCGAAAGGGATAGCCTTCTTCTCGATGTTGTATAGGTTTCGTTCATTTTTTTTATGTGGGCCCGAATAGTAAATACATTTAAGGCAATTTCTTATGAATTTATTTAATTTGTCCTTCATATTAGGGAACCAATAATATTTGCTTATCCTGTCCATACATTTCCCAATACCAACATGACTATACTTCTCATGTACTAACCTCATTATGTTTTCTTCTAATTCCTCCGGCACGTATAATTGTCTTTGTCCCTGATTACCTATTCTAAACACTAAACTATTGTCCAACAAAAACCCCTCTTTTTCACCATGCTCAAGTGCTATCTTAATGTCCTGTATCTTCGGATCCCTAGATTGCGTAATCTGAATATTTACGTCGACTTCATTCTCATCGATAACCCCGATAACTGGTTCGCGGCTGAGTGCATCGACGTGAGTCATCAATTCTCCTCTTCTATGCCTAATGCTATAATTATAATTTTCCAATTCTAAAGCCCATCTGGCGATTCTAGGGTTTATTAATTTCTTGCTCAATGTTAGTGCAAGGGAGTTACAGTCGGTCACAATGGTGAAAGGGATTCCTTCTAAGTATATACGGAACCTTCTTAACGCATATATTATGGCCATGGTTTCTAATTCAAACTATGGTACCTAGATTCTGCCGGAGATGTGCACTTAGAGTAGTAAGCTATAGGGTGAAATTTACCATCTCCTAGTTTCTGTAGGAGCACTGAACCATAGCCCTTAGTACTAGCATCTGTGTGTAATTCTGTTTCACGTTGCTGATCATATACTGCCAGCACAGGAGCATTCGTCAATCGATCCTTCAGAGTCAAGAAAGCGTCTCTACATTCGTCAGTCCAGTTAAAATTTCCATTTTTCTTCAACATATTCAAAGGCCTTGATATTCTCGAAAAGTCCTGTACAAATCTTCGGAAATAGGAAAACAGTCCTAAACAACGCTCTACCCCTTCACAGTCAGTAGGCATAGGATACTCTTTTATGGACTTGATGTGATCCTCATTAGGCCTAATGCCCATCTCGTTCACACGATAACCTAAATAATCTATTTCCCGATATGCGAATTTACACTTATTCATATTAAGTCTCAAACCTACTTCACTTAAAGCACCTAACACGTCCGACAATAATCCTACATGTTCCTCCAAAGTTTCAGTGGCGATGATTATATCATCTAAGTAAACTACAATCTTACCTGATTCTATAAAATCTCTTAAAACTTTATTAATAAACCGCTGGAATACAGCACCAGCATTTTTTAGCCCGAAAGGCATATAACAATATTCGTATTGACCCAAAGGGGTGACGAAAGCCGTATATTTTATCGAATCCTCATGCATCGGTACCTGATGAAAACTATTTTCTAAATCAAGGGTCGAAAAAATTTTTTTATTACCTAAATAGTCCAGGCAATCCTCGATTATGGGTAAGGGATAATTATCCTTTAGTGTAATCTTGTTCAGGGCCCTGTAGTCTACGCACATTCTCAATTGCCCGCTTTTCCGTCTCACTAACACAATCGGCGAGGCATATGCCGAATCACTAGGGCGTATAATACCCTTCTCTAAGAGTTCATTTAATTTCAATTTAACCTCAGACTTTTCCCGGTATGAAAGCCGTCTTGGACCACTATAAATCGGTACATCATTGGTTAACCTAATTTCCATACAATAATCTACCATCTTTGTAGGAGATCCCAATCTATCAAAATACTGCGTTTCTAACATTGACCTTAATGTACACGCACTCGCTGTATCTAGTCCCTCATCAATGTCTATATTCGTATTATCCTCAACGTTGCAAATTATTTCCATGTTTTCCTCACAATACTCATCTTCGTTAATAATTTCTAAATCTTCAACGTTTTCAACTATACTACACTCATTTTCAGAAGCAATTTTATCACGACTCGCTAGATGTTTTACTTCAGGTGAAATAATTCTCCTAATGTTAGTCGGTTCAATAAAATCATTCTTATTACACGTTGCAAATGGAAGTTCATCGAATAAATTCTCTACCGCAGGTGGAAGTTCAGGACTACTACATAATTTAAACAACACAAGCGCACGATGTATTTTTTTGTCAATGTATCCATTTTTTAAATTCAATTTTAACAATTCATTTTTATTATAAGAAATTTTTTTGCTGCATAAGTGAATATTAAGTTTATTAAGTACATCACGCCCGATTAAAAGTGGCACTATGGCTTCGGAATCCGGCAGAACAAATAAATCACCCGCTACTGTTTTATTTTGAAAAAATATGTCACATCCAACACGACCGATTATATTTATGATTTTGTTTCCAACGCCGCGAAATGTAGGTACAGTTTTATTAATAGGGATTGCAAACGGTACTAGTGATTCACTTATACAACTAATTGGGCTACCCGTATCAAGCAAAGAAAAAATTTAATAACATCAGTGCGCTTATTTTGTTGTCTGAAGGCAACACTTACCGATTGGAATGCATCAATACCCTTAATATTTATGGCTCCAACTGCAGTCTTCTTCTTCGGACAGTCTTTGTGGAAATGTCCCATCTCTGCACACACGAAACATGAATTCGGGGGACGTCTGGGCTTCTGACACTGACTTTGGTAGTGTCCAAATTGCGAGCAGTTGTAGCAGCGGACCTCAGCTTCAGTCGATTTATTACCAGTGGTTTCAGAAGGCATCGGTTTAGCTGCGGTAACAGTCTTTAACGGAACGCGGCGTTGTTGACGGCGGCACTCATACCTATCCAGACGACGTAGTAAGTCGTCCATACTACTGGCGCCGTAGAGCATATTGACTGCGTTGTCATTCTTAGGGACACCATCAATTATTATGTCCACTAGCTCTTGCTCCTCTATATCAGCTTTAGCAGCGATTGACTGCATAGCCACCACGTAGCTGAGGCACGACTCGTCAGGCTTTAAATTTCTTTGCTGTAGTTGCCTGTATACCTCTTGCCGGGAAACTGTACGTTTGAACATTCTTGTTAGGCGAGCTTTTAAGTCATCAAATTGTAACAGGCCTAAGTTTGTAACGTACTGTTTGGCCGTTCCTTCCAAACGTCGGCGTATGGCTGCACATTTTTCCTTTTCGGAAAACATCCCCGCATAATCTTCAAAGACTACGAACCAGCGGTTTATGTCTTGGTTGTCGTCACCGCTAAATATAGGAACAGCAGCGTCCAATTCCATCCAGTCCATTCTGCGTACAGGAGATTGGTATGATAAGCCCTCTTCTAGGGCCTGTATTTGTTGCTGTAGTTGTAACACCTGTAAACGAAGTTGTAATTTTTTTATTTCGTCGGACCCTGTAGCAGATGCGGTATCTGGAAGAAAATCATAAGTTTTTCCAGTGTGCATTCTGGCAGCGGCAGCAATTACAGCGGGCTTCGGGACAGCAGTTACATTGTCTTCAGTTTCAGCGGCATCATGCACGTGGACTTCAGTGTTGACTTCTACGGCGTACTGATCTAGAGCACGTGTTTGCTGTTGTGCAGCAGGATTTGCGACAACGTGTGTCTTAATAGTATTTTCAGCGGCATCAGTATTTGCTTGGACAGCGCACTGGTTCATGTCTTCCACTGTATCCTCTTCGCTTGCTGGTTTTAAAGCGTGGTTGCTTTGTTGTGTCATTAGCGCTTCATATAAGCCTCGTAGTTGGCTCAGCGTCGCAGAAGAAGGGAACTCGATGCCGGCTGCATTTAATGCATCAGTCATTGTCTGGCGACTAGGTCTTAGATCCATCATTGAGCTGCTTTACTAAGATGCACCCCACACCTGATGTTGTAAAGGATGCTTATTTGTTTTTTTATTTATGTTCCTTTCTGATTAGAATGGCTTACAATAATAATTCTTAAAACGGAAATGCAAAAAAGGCCAGGTTGCATTCCATCTGACAAAGGCTTAATGAGTTTTTAGAGTTGCCACATAACACATTACTACAATCTTTTGTAGAGTTGCCATATTACAGATCATTACAATTTACTAATTTTTTATGGTTTTTAAGTAAATTTAACATTTATTTTTCAATTTCCCTGTATTCATCATCAAAAACGTTTTAAGTCACTTTTTTAACAATAACTCTATTAGCAACACTTGTAAACAGCTGACTGCTCTAACTTGTTTTTCTATTTTTTTCTTTTTTGCATTTTATCATCTTGCACAATTTGCCCGTCTATACTTCTAAATGACTTCGCATACTTTTAGCCAGAAAAAGTTCATACCCACACCACCGGAAAAGGGTAGTTTCCCCTTGGATCACGAAAGTTTGTGTAAAAAGTATTATTTACTTTACATGAGCTGTCTGCGTCGCAGTGACGATCAAAATTCACAGTGCCGCAAAGAAGCTCAAGAATATTTAGATTGTCGCATGAAGAATCAGTTAATGGAACAGACTGAATGGTCCAAATTGGGTTTCAGTGAAGGCGAGACGAAAGCCAATAAAACGGATAAAACACCGCAATAGCATTTTAATTTAAAAGTAGAACAAACAAAATCACATCAAATACAAAATGAAAACCAATAAAAATATTTTAATAGCTTGTACCGGTAGTGTGGCTACCATTAAGTTAACGCTGCTAATAGAAAAGTTGTTAGCTATAGATAAAGATTATAGTTTTAATGTGAGTTGTATAATTATTTCTTTTGTAAGCAAATTTTTGTTAATAATACTACAATCTTTCTTATAGATCAAAGTTATTGTTACTGAACGTGCCAAACATTTCATCGAAAATTCATCTATACCAGAGGGCATAGAAATATTAGATGATCAAAATGAATGGAGTGCTTGGAATAAACGTGGTGATCCGGTTGTTCATATAGATTTGGGTAAATGGGCTGATATGCTGGTGATAGCACCTTTAAGTGCTAATTCTTTGGCTAAAATTGCTATGGTAAGTAGAAACACAGTTTTTGAAGATACATAGATTAAATCCTATTTTTTTTCTCTTCCCTTTACTTCCACAGGGTCTTTGTGACAATCTCTTGCTGTGCGTTGTACGAGCATGGGATGTTAGCAAACCTTTACTATTCTGTCCAGCCATGAACACACGCATGTTTGATCATCCCATTACCCAGGAACATATAACAAAACTAAAAACATGGGGTTATCATGAAGTTGCAACAGTAGCGAAAACTTTAATGTGTGGCGATACGGGTAATGGAGCTATGGCCGAAGTGGAAACAATTATTGAAAATATTTTATGTAAATTTGAAAATGTTAAAAATGTATAAATTATATTTATAATAAAATATGTATGTAAAAAAATAAATAAAAACAAAATACTTTAAAAACTCCTCTAACTTTTTAGATTAAAAATTGACATCAAAGTTAGAAGATTTAAAAAGTTAATTTTAAAGAGATTTATTATTATTAAATGTATTTTTATTGAATGATAATCATTTTATTTTTGTTTTTATTTGTTTTTGTTTTTTTCTTTTCTTTTTAATTCGTATAATAATTATTATTCATAATTTTATGCGCGGTGAGTGCATCTAAGAGCAAAAACTTTCTGTTTTTTTATAATATATATAATATTTTTTGTTGTTTATAATATAATAATTATATTTTTTATTTATATTTTGTTTTTGTTTGTTTTTTTTTTGTCAATATAATAACTAATTGTATGTTTAAACGGTTTATAAACATGCTTTATTTAATGGTTTTTGTAATTTAATAGTGTGTTGTAAATGTAAGAAGTTTTGTTGTTGTTTTATGGTGTGTATTTTCTTTCTGGTTGTTTTGTTTATTTAATTTTTATATTTTTGTTGTTGTCACATAGCATTTGTTAGTTTTATTTTGTAAACATAATACAACTTTTGTTTTTTGTAGATGATAGCTTAAACAATTTGAAAAAAATTTACCTTAAAATCTATATAAAAATATATATTTATATATATAAAATATTTGCAAATTACATAAACTTAATTTTACATATTATAATTATAGTATTAATAAAATAATATTAATAATTATATTAAAAATTAGAAAAAAAAAACTATAACGAACAAAAATATTTGCATTTAATATATAGAATGAACTTACAAATAGTAATATGTGTATGTGTGTGTGTGTGTATATATACAAGTTATATTTACTTAAAAGTTGTTTACAGCTAAATGAATATTAAAAATTATTTATTTATATAAAAAAAACTTAATTGAAAAGAATTCGAGCCCCCCTTACTAATGTTAAAAGCCCTATTTTTTTAAAGAATTTAATTTTTAAATTGAATGAGTTGTATGAGAATTATGCTTTTTTTGTTTAAACTGTTAGAAGCCAATAAAATAATTAACAATTAAAAATAATTATATATAAGTTTTATATACAATTTACATAAAATTTTAAAAAAAAATAATAATAATAATAATAATTGGATTAAAATATAAAATTTAAATACCACAGATTCGGGTGAATTTAATAACAAGATTCTAAGGAAAAGTTTTTAGAAATGTTCGGTTGAAAAGCAACGGTATTGGAAGATATACAAGAGAGTTACTTTGTTATTCGTTGCGAAAACAAAATCGAACTATAAAAAGCAAATTATTTTTTGATTTTCAGAATTCAAGTAAACAATAGTTAACACAATTTTCTCTAGATTTTAGACTGTTCTATATATATATAGTCTTGACTATAGACTATTCTATTGTCTTTACTATAGACTATTCTATAGTCTTGACTATAGACTATTCTATAGTCTTGACTATAGACTATTCTAGTCTTGACTATAGACTATTCCATAGTCTTGATTATAGACTATTCTGTAGTCTTGACCATAGACTATTCAATAGTCTTGACTATAGACTATTCAATAGTCTTGACTATAGATTATTCTACAGATTATTCTATAGTCTTGACTATAGACTATTCTATAGTCTTGACTATAGACTATTCCATAGTCTTGACTATAGACAATTCTATAGTCTTGACTATAGACAATTCTATAGTCTTGACTATAGACAATTCTATAGTCTTGACGGTAGACTATTCTATAGTCTTGACTATAGACTATTCTATAGTCTTGACTATAGACTATTCTATAGTCTTGACTATAGACTATTCTATAGTCTTGACTATAGACTTTTCTATTGTCTTGACTATAGACTATTCCATAGTCTTGACTATAGACTATTCTATAGTCTTGACTATAGACTATTCTACAGTCTTGATTATAGACTATTAAATAGTCTTGACTATAGACTATTCAATAGTCTTGACTATAGACTATTCAATAGTCTTGACTATAGATTATTCTACAGTCTTGACTATAGATTATTCTATAGTCTTGACTATAGACTATTCTATAGTCCTGACTATAGATTATTCTACAGTCTTGACTATAGATTATTCTATAGTCTTGACTATAGACTATTCTATAGTCCTGACTATAGACTATTCTATAGTCTTGACTATAGTCTATTCTATAGTCTTGACTATCGACTATTGACTATAGTCTTGACTATAGGCTATTCTATAGTCTTGACTATAGACTATTCTATAGTCTTGACTATAGACTATTCTATAGTCTTGACTATAGACTATTCTATAGTCTTGACTATAGACTATTCTATAGTCTTGACTATAGACTATTCTATAGTCTTGACGATAGACTTTTCTATTGTCTTGACTATAGACTATTCCATAGTCTTGCCTATAGACTATTCTATAGTCTTGACTATAGAATATTTTATAGTCTTGACTATAGAATATTCTATAGTCTTGACTATAGACTATTCTATAATCAAGACTATAGACTATTCTATAGTCTTGACTATACACTATTCTATAGTCTTGTCTAGAGACTATTCTTTAGTCTTGACTATACACTATTCTATAGTATTGACTGCAGATTATTCTAGTCTTGACTTTAGACTATTCTATAGTCTTGACTTCAGACTATTCTATAGTCTTGACTATAGACTATTCTAGAGACTATTCTATAGTCTTGACTATAGACTATTATATAGTCTTGACTATAGTCTATTCTATAGTCTTGACTATCGACTATTATATAGTTTTGACTGTAGACAATTCTATAGTCTTGACTATAGTGTATTCTACAGTCTTGACTATAGACTATGCTATAGTTTTGACTACAGACTATTCTATAGTCTTGACTACAGACCATTTTATAGTCGAGGAAATGTACTTTAATCATGCAGAAAATCCTGTCGTTATCTGCGTTAAATTTATCACGTGGGGCAAAAAAAAGGCGGTTTAACAAAAAAATAAATAAATTCAAAACAAAAATAATGTTAAAATTAGTTGGAGTTAAAAAAAAAGTCACAAATTTCACAAAGTAGACCGAAATATAAATATTAATAGAAATTCTGAGTACGCGATAATGTTATTGTTTTAAACCATTTTCGCAATGCGATTATTAATTATCGTAGTATTTTACAAATTACATAATTATGTGAGCGAATACTGTTTTCTTCTGTTTCTTCTTCATGTTGCTGCTGCTGCTGTTGACATTGTTGTCATTTTGTTTTAACACTTTTAATATTGTCATTTTTGCCAATAATTCATCTAATCACACAGGATACGCATAATTTCGATGAACTTATACAATCATCATGACAAAAGGCTCCACATTGTTGGCATATAACCATGGCATTTAAGGAACAGGCACAATTGTTTGCATCTGATGTGTTAGTTGGACTATTACCACTACCAATACTGTTACAGCTATTACTACTGTTACTGCTAATATCGAGATGTTGATGATTTGTTCGTAAGTTACCACCAGCTAGAAGACTGGCTACACCTGCTGCTCCTGTACCACTTGCTATTGTAGCTGATGTGGCATGAACAGGTGAAGTTGTTACTACATAATTGCCACTACCATCTACGAGACCTGTGGCAGTGGTATCACCAATACCTTCTATGTATATATTGCCTAAAATGAGGAAAGAGGAGAAAAATGTGGATGATCTTAATATGCTATCGTTTTTACGAGTTACTACATGTACTATAGACTAGATTATAAACTAGATATTAGGCTAGATTAAAGAGTAGACTATAGACCATACTATATACTAGACTATAGACTATACTATATACTAAAATATAGAGTAGACTGTAGACTATGCTATAGACTAGACTATAGACTAGGCTATAGAATAGACTATAGACTAGACTTTAGACTAGACTATAAACTAGACTATAGACAAGACTATAAACTATACTACAGACTAGACTATAGACTATACTACAGAGTAGACTATAGACTAGACTAGACCTATCTATCTATCTATCTATCTATCTATCTATCTATCTATCTATCTATCTATCTATCTATCTATCTATCTATCTATCTATCTATCTATCTATCTATCTATCTATCTATCTATCTATCTATCTATCTATCTATCTATCTATCTATCTATCTATCTATCTATCTATCTATCTATCTATCTATCTATCTATCTATCTATCTATCTATCTATCTATCTATCTATCTATCTATCTAGCGAGCAGCGATCGAGCTCTATCTAGCGAGCAGCTAGCGACTATCGATCGAGAGAGCGAGCAGAGCGAGCTAGCGAGCGAGCGAGCGAGCGATGAGCGAGCTATCTAGCGAGCATCGAGCGAGCGAGCATAGCGAGCACGAGCGAGCGATCTATGCGATCTCGACGAGCGAGCGAGCTAAGGGCGACAGCTACTATCGATGCTACTATCTTCTATCTACGACTATCATCTACTATCTATCTATCTATCATCATCTATCTATCTATCTATCTATCTATCTATCTATCTATCTATCTATCTATCTATCTATCTATCTATCTATCTATCTATCTATCTATCTATCTCTCTATCTATCTATTATCATCTATGCTACATCTATCACATATTAATCAATAAATAAAACTTACCGGTTGCCACATTACGTCTCACTATCTGTGTGTTATTGTTGACATTTGCTGCTGTTGGCGGATTACAAACTGTATTAATTGTGCATTGTCTTGTAGTGTATTAAAACAAATCTACATCCACTGAAGCAGGACGCCCGCGTCCTGTTATAGAAATACCATTCATACCATGTAATTGATTCTGTTTAGGTAAATAAAACAATAATTCTCTTAAAATTGGGCATTTAACCACTGCATACAAACCTGATTTTGAGGAACTGGTGGAGCGCTGGAAGCACGCGGAGCCTGATTATCGGCCGCACCTACATTAGCACGATGCACTAGTACATACTGGCCATTGCCATTGTGATGTATATCGTGGGTAGCCTGAACATGTGTTAGATGTTGTGTCGCCGCCTGTTGTTGGCCCGGCGAAACACAGGGTTGTTGCATTATTGTCACCTTTTGACCAACGCCAACTGTATTAAGGGTCGCACCACCACCACCCGTTACAGCGGCTGAGGTTGGTACGGTTGTAACATTGGCATTTTGCAGCACTGCAGAGCCTTGATTGGCGAAAATGTGTCTTATTAAAGTGGGTGAGGATTTACGTTGTACGTATTTCTTGCGTGGAAAACCCATGCGAGGACCAATGACCTAGTTTTTTAAATGTGGGGACAATTATATAAACATATTTTAATATTTTATTTAAGAGAATTTACCTTATAAACTCCTGGTCTTCCCACACCCATTATATTTGCTGGCATACCCGTAGTTGCTGCCGTATTGTTGTTATTTGCATTATTCACAACAACATCATCTTGGGTTTTTATTAAGTTCGTCACCGAAGTGGTTACTGATACCGGTACGGGCAATGTTTTTGCCAAAGTGGCATTTGTAGTGTGTATAATTTGAGGTTGTTGTTGCTGTTGTTGTTGTTGCTGCTGCTGTTGACTTAAGAGAGCAGCTGGTGGTCTTAATTGTGCTTTGAGATTTTCACGATTGGGACTATTTTGTATGACGGCTTGACAAATTTGATAGCTACGCTCTAGATTAACCGCACCAGGTGGTAGTTTATTTGTAGTCGATTTACGTCCTTTGCCCGAGGAAGCTTTAGCTGCTGACCTTTGCTGAGCAATTGTCGTAGGCACTCCAGATATGGGTAAGGCGGTTTTAAGGATATTTATATTATTGTTACTGCTGGCGCTGTTGTTGCTATTGTACATGGTGTTAGCGGCTGCATTGGAGGCGGCCACGACGGCAGTGGACGGAATGGCAACTGTTGTGGAGGCGGCAATACTTGCGGGTATTGTAGCTGTTGTTGGACTACGCGAAGGCATTGAAATAATACTCAATTGTTTGGGAATGAATTTAGGCGTTAGAGTAGTTGTGTTGTGGTGTGTCTGCTGCTGTTGTTGTTGTGTTTGATGATGTGGTGATAATTGCTGTTGTTGTGGGTTATGAGGCTGCTGTGGTTGATTGTTTACATTTTGAAATGTATTTAGATGATGATGCTGTTGTTGCAACTGTTGTAGTTGTTGTTGCAATTGTAATTGCTGCTGGTGTTGTTGTGTTGCTGCTAGCAAATTATTTGCTGTGGCGGTTAGACTATTGTTGTTGGCTTGTGCTGTTGCTGCTGAGTTTGTTAAGAATGTACGGTTTTGTGGCTGGTGTTGTGGTTGTTGTGGAGGTTGAGGGGTCAAGGAGAACTGTTGCATTTGCTGATGAGCTTGCTCTATATGACTTGACTGCTGCTGTTGGGCTTGAGCTAAAGCTGAGGAATTTGCTATAAAATGTTGCGCTCCATTGGTGTTCATTTGATGTTCAAAGGTTTTTCTCACCAGAGGCAACATTTTTTGAGCCAATTGTTGCCTTTGCTGTTGTCTAGCGGCAGCTGCTGCCGCAAATGCAACCGAATTCTGTTGTTGGGCTGCCGCTAAGGCGGCCACTGAATTGGTTTGTTGATTAGGTGTTGTTTGGCTCTGATGTTGCTGTTGAAAGCTAAATTGTTGAGCTGCTTGTTGCAATAACTGCTGCTGTTGTTGTTGTTGTTGATGCTGTAGATGTTGCTGTTGTTGGGTTGGTTGTGTGGCTGCCTGAGTTTGATGGTGTTGATTCGTGGGCTGTTGTTGTACCAAAAAGTTGCCAATGATTTGTCCATTAGAATCCACCAATATTTGTCGTTGTTGAGTTGCTGTATTGTGTATTGCTTGTTGATGTTGCTGCTGCTGTTGTTGTGCTGTTGTATGCAATTGTTGCTGTTGATGATGTTGATGTTGCGACGTCTGCAGCTGCAGTTGGGCTAATGAAGACGGTACTAGATTGGCAGCAGTCAGACTTCCTGTACTACTTGTACTGCTGCACATGCTTATATCGTTGGTACTATCGTTGGAATTTGTATTTGTTAAAACCGTGCTGGTTACCTCCATTTCCGTTATAGACATGGGTACATCAGATGAGGCCAGCTAAAGTAAAATAGGGAATTTAACATAAATAATCTTTAGCCAAAAACAAATGCTACTTACCTCTCCCACATATTCGTTGAGTTGAGCATGATGATGATGTTGTTGTTGTTGTTGATGATTTTGAACATGACGTTCCAATTGCTGTTGATGCTGCTGCTGTTGATGAATTTGTTGTTGTTGTCGCTGCTGTTGATGTTCCTGTTGTTGGAAATGTTCTATTTCCACCTGTTGCAATTGATGTTGTTGCTGCTGCTGCTGTTGTTGCTGTTGCTGCTGCAGTTGCATTATTTGTTCGTGCTGCTGCTGCAGTTCATCAACAATATCCCTTACCGCATCATTATCATCCAAGTCTTCCTCATCTTCTTCTGCCTCCGCTTCATCATCGACATTATCAACATTATCTTCAGCACTGTTATCATCAATTAAATCAGCTACGGCATCTTGTAGTATACAATCCCCACCAGTTGTATGACTATCGTCTTGTACAATTTCGGTGGCTATAGAACCCGAACTTCCAGTGCTGCCACCCATTCCGCTGCTCAGGTCTGCTTGCTGCAGCATATTGCAATAACTACCGGTCGTCATGTTTTGTTGCTCATCATGCTCCACCACCATTGGTTGAGGCGCCGCCGCCACTCCACTTCCTTGTTGTCCATCCAATTTCATACCTCCAAAATTCCAATCATGCTGCAAATGATGGAATATCTCACTGGCTGTTGTCTCCATGGGCAGACTTAATTGAGGCGTTTGTTCTTTGACCAAAGGTGAACCGGTAAGCGAGACTACAGATGTTATCATGGGCTTGGCGTTACCCAATGTAGTTGTCGATGCTGAATTTGATGAGGAGCATGATGAAGATAAAGTCGTCGAAGTCAATGGTGATGAGGCAGACGAAGATGACGAAGAGGATAATGTCGAAGATGTTGTGGCTTGCTGTAGACTGGCTGATATTGTTGCCATTAGCGTGTTATTGCTTCTGCTAATATTATTGTTGCTATTGTTTCCTTCACAATGTTGCTGCTCATGCGTTACAATCACTAAATCGCCCAAAGAAATACACACACACACAAAGAATTAGAATATATTAATGTTTTAAAAGGATTTGAAGTTTAACTCGTTAAATATTAATTAAATTGTTTAGTTTTGTGCTAATGTTTATGTAATGTATTTATGTGTTTCTTTTTTTCAACTTACTGCGTAAAAAATATTGGATTTAATTTGATTTTATATTTTGGTTGATGTTGGATTTTGTTTAAGTTGCGTTATATTTTTAAACACACATGCATATCTTATGCTTTTCACACAAAACCAACATTAAGGGAAAAGGATTAAGGACTTAAAATTTGGATGGGTTTTAGGGATTTCTAATATTAGTAGATCTTTTTTTTAAAAATGTTAGTTAGGCATACATTTAAATACGATTACAAACAAAAAGTCGAAAAAATGGACAAATTAATGGATAATAATGAAAAATAAAAACGCAAACAAATTGATAATTAAATTACTATGAAAGTTTTAAATTAAGAAAAAAACTTTAAAATATGTTATAGAGTCGATAACAAAATTGTACATAGCATTGATAGTCTAGCACTGAACTAGAACTAAATTAGACTGAACTAGAATTGAACTAGAACTGAACTAGAATTAAACTAGAATTGAATTAGGACTGAACTAGAACTGAACTAGAACTGAAATAGAACTGAACTAGAACTGAACTAGAACTGAATTAGAACTGAACTAGAACTGAACTAGAACTGAACTAGAACTGAACTAGAACTGAACTAGAACTGAACTAGAACTGAACTAGAACTGAACTAGAACTGAACTAGAACTGAACTAGAACTGAACTAGAGCTGAACTAGAGCTGAACTAGAACTGAACTAGAACTGAACTAGAACTGAACTAGAACTGAACTAGAACTGAACTAGAACTGAACTAGAACTGAACTAGAACTGAACTAGAACTGAACTAGAACTGAACTAGAACTGAACTAGAACTGAACTAGAACTAAACTAGAACTGAACTAGAACTGAACTAGAACTGAACTAGAACTGAACTAGAACTGAACTAGAACTGAACTAGAACTGAACTAGAACTGAACTAGAACTGAACTAGAACTGAACTAGAACTGAACTAGATCTGAACTAGAACTGAACTAGAACTGAACTGGAACTGAACTAGAACTGAACTAGAACTGAACTAGAACTGAACTAGAACTGAACTAGAACTGAACTAGAACTGAACTAGAACTGAACTAGAACTAAACTAGAACTAAACTAGAACTGAACTGCAAAAATTGTCCAATTTCATAATTTAATTATCAATTCGTCCATGTAATATGATGTTTATGTTTTATGGAATTTCAACATCTATTTTATACTTTAATTATAAATAAATAAAAAAAAATTCACTTCATTTCGTTATAAACAAACAAAAAATATTTCAATTCATGAAATAATAGTAAAAAAAGTAAATATGATTTAAAATCAATAAGGAATTGCATAATAAATTTAGATTTTTTCAAAAAAATAATTTTAAAGAACAAAGGAGTTATTTACATAACGTTATTTAATAAAAGGTTTTAGGCCATAGATGAGCTTACCATTATCTAAAGAGTTAGTAAATAAAAAATCTGCATTATTAATAACACTATCAGTGTTGGTGGTGGTGGGTGGCGGTGGTGTGGTAGCCACAACATTTGTAGATGCTGTTGTTGCAGTTGTAACACAATGAAAATTAGTTTTTGCATTTAATTTAGAATCTTAGAAAAGTGAAAAGCAAAGGTTAGTTTTAAGTGTTGTTAATGAAGAAGGAAATATTACAGCAGATTTGTTTAAATGTTATAAAATTCAAAGTAAAAAACTTACCATTGCCACTATCATCTGTGCTAACTTCTCCTGATTCTAAAACATAGTTTTCAGCATCGTTAAACTTTTGTTCAATAACATCATCTTCATCCTCATCTAAGTTGTTATTATTGTTGTTGTTATTATTGTTATTATAAGGATTGTGTAATAATTGATCGGTGCAGTTATCCAGCTGCATTGAATTTGTTAAAATCATTGTATCCTGTGGATGCTGCTGAATCTCCATTTCAGGCGTATTATGAGTATATGTTGTTTGTTGGTCTTGCTGTTGTTGCTGTAGCAGTTGCTGTTCAACTCTTATATTTGTGGTCTCATCACTGCCCATCATTTCTATAGCATATGGCAAATTACTATCACAGGTACTGTTAACAGTTGATATTGTTGCAGAAATTGGAGCAGGAGGCGGTGAAGAGGAGCAGGAATTAGTGGCAGAATTTGAGTTCGAATTGGAATTAGAGGAATTATTAACAACATATTCATGTTGCTTATTCATTGTCAATGTCATCATCATTGTGGCCGCATTATTTTGCTCGTCTAGGTACTGGGTTGTATGGGGATTTGGTGGAGCCATTACATGCTCCGTCACATCATCATCATCAACGTCATCAACATCATTTGTAGCATCGATTTGACAAATACTATTGCTGCTGTTTGAACCACTGCCACTAGCGCTGCTATTGTTTTCCGTGTTTTCTATTTTCAGTTTTTTACTTGTCGTTGGACCATCAAGACAAATAACATCATCACTACTACTATTTAAACTATTCACTTCAGTAGGAACATTTTCTTTAAGATTGCTTTCACTGCAGCTAGTTTTATTTGCCTTAGCCAGGTTAGTAGCCTCACCAGCTGTTGCAGCTGGATCAGTAAAGTCTTTGCTGTTTGTGGGACTATTAGAGGATCGTTTAGTGCCTCGTCTCTGGCCTTCTTGTATTAGCTTAATGGCGTTTGCAGATGATGTTGGTAGATCTTGTAGTATTCTATCATTTTCTTCAATTTCTTTTTTAAACTAAAATTAAAAGAATATAAATGTTAATTACTATATTGAAACTAGAACTAAACTGGAACTGAACTAGAATATAACTAGAACTGAACAAAAAACAGAAGATATTTAAAGGCATTAATGACTACAGAGGAAAACTTTTTGGTGTACTTACATTTTCTTGTTTACTTTCAGTCTTTTTATCATAATTTTCATGTTTCAATGTACTTATTGTAGATGGTGATAGTGTTGTTGATGCTGCTGCTGCTGAAGATGAAGGTGTTATCGTCGTTTCAATACATTCCACTACATCGTCATCATCATCATCTTCAACGTGTTGAATTTTATAGTTATTCTTGTGCTGTTTATTTGGTGAACTGGTAGCAGGTCTTGTTGCTTTTTCCGTCAAGCTTTTAGCAACTACTAGTTCATCTAATGAACATGAAGAGGAGGAGGAGGAATTTGTGGTGGATGAGTTAAGCGAGCATGTAGGCGAATTTGAGGATAATGCTTCGTTTTTTACATAATTCGAGGCACTAGTGGTTGCTGCTGATATTGCTGTTGAGTTTGGAGCAGCTGTAATTTTCGTTTCTGCTGCTTCTGTGGCTGTTGTCGTTGAGATTGTTGTGGTTTGTGTTACAACTATGGTACAAGTGGAAGTTGTGCTGCTGTTAGTATCCAATTTATCTGCTGCCACTTCCACTTTAATTTTATTATTTACACAAACATCGGCGGTGGTGGTGGCGGAGGCGCTACTGGTTGTTGTTGTTGTACGACTACTACTGGCACGATTGAATGACTTTTCACCCCATATCGGTTCAAAATGTTTCAATTTCCATGGATCCAATTTATTCTTTTCCCGCTCAGCCTCCGTCCTCAGTTTCATTTGATTTTCGGGCGTAAATTCGCCCTCGCCCAAACGTTCACGCCACTCCAGACATGCTCTCGCAAAAAACTCATTATTAAGACTTGAGGGACCCAGTCGTATAGCCTCTGTGGGTATGGTATTGGCAGGGCATTTTTGTTCCATTTCAATGGTCTCGCGATCTACACTGGGTAACAGTTGTATGAGATTATACTGGTACAGAGGTGGGAGCAAAGAAAATGTCTGCTTATTAAGCAGAGCACGCAGATTTGTCGATGCCAATATTGAATCTGGTGTCTCCAGATCAATTTTACCATCTTTGGTCTGTTCTATTTGTGCGGCAGTTGATATTTTCTTTGAGGATCTACGGCGGGGCTTTAAGCTAAAACCGGGTATCGAAGCTAAAACCTCACGCATGGTAGAGGCCTGTGTAATGGCGGTAGCAGCATTGGCAGCAGCAGAAGCTGCCGCCGCCGCCGCTGCAGCGGCTGCTGCTGCTGCAGCTGCCTGTTTAGCTTGTTGCTGTTGTTGTATACGTCTACTGCTGCTGGTTCTACCAGATGAGGGACTGCAATTAACTTGCACTGACGCAGACGACGATGAGGAAGATGGTGAACTGGCATTGGCCGCCGTAGAGCCCGTCGTAGCGCCCAATGTTTGTTTCTTATCGGGTAGTATGGGTTTAACAATAATACGCGGTACATGACGTCTAAAATTACAGAATTTACAATTATAGTGAAAATGATTACCCTTCAACACTTACCGTAAACTGTGGGAATGCTTTGAGGTTGAGGGGGCACTGCCTAAAGAGTCTTCGGTAGAACTACGCTCTCCCGACGAGGTATCCAAAGCTAAGGGATCTTTTTCGTCCTCATCATCGATGAGATTTATGTGTGTGGTGGTGGCCTCCATGTTGCCACTACTAAATACCGTAAAATATCTATTCAAATCAGCTGTTTTAGTGTAAATTTGTTGGTGTTGTTGCTGTGGTCGTGGGCCACTTGCATTTGGGTTCGTTGCTAGTTGTTGTTGATTACTACTAAAAAATATTCCCGGTGTTTTTATTGTTGTTGTCGATTTTTTCGTTACAGCAGCCTCTAAATCGAAAATTTCCGTTTTCATTATTTTGTCCTGTTGGTTGAGCCTGCTGTCTGACTAAATGACTGTTTGACTGACTGGCTGACAAAAATTCACATCTGTAACAGAGTTAATAGACTGCGATGAGACAAAAACATATTTTTTGTCTTTTTATACCTGCCCAACGACCCCTAATGGTGACTACAGTGCTCATTAAGGCAGAGTTCAGTCAATGTCTTAAACATTGTTAAATATTGCTTTGTATTTCTGCAAAAAAAAGAAATATGAAAATATTAAAGTTTCAAAGAAAATTTCTGCAACTTTTCTCTTTGTACGCTTTAATATTTGAAAAGAAACACATTGATTTTTTAACATTTACAAATTTGCTTACCTGTTCATAATTATCGTGAATATTTCGTGATTTTCTTTTTATCCTGGGCCCTGACCAACCATACGATTTACTTAAGAATAATATTCTTATTTTTTATATATATTTTTTTAATCAAATTTTATCACTGTCCAAATTATTTAATTAAAAGGGCTGCACCATTTGAAGGAGGAGGTCAGCAGCAAGCTTTTCATTTGGATTTTTTCGTTCGGAATTTCGGATTTTTTCCACCATAAATTATAAGTTCTTTCTTTTATATAAATTTTTACATATATAATTTTTCTTACGAACATTAGTATTGCCGAATTACCATTTTAGGTTTTCTTTTTCAGTTGGTAATAGTTTTTCCTTCTTTTAACTTGATATTCTACTACTTTTACAAAAAAAAACAGAAAAAAAATAAGAAAAAATTCCTTACAGTGATGCCAGACGGTAATTTTGTTTTGAGGGGAGAAAAACGCCTATTATTGTTTTGACGTTTTTTTTTCTAAATATACATAACTTATTGAATTTTATCTTGAAATTAAAAAAAATGAACTACAAATGATCTAGAAGTCAACTAGAATTAAATTAGACCTAAACCAAACAATATCACATACTAACTAGAACTAAACTAGTACGTTACCAAGGCTGAAATAGAACTATAAATGTACTGAACAAGAATTACAACTAAAATAGAACTGAACTAGAACTGAAATATAATTGAACTAGAACATAACTAGAACTGAAATAGAACATAACAAGAACTGAACTAGAATTGAAGTAGAATTGAACTAGAACTGAACTAGAACTGAGCTAGAACTGAACTAGAACTGAACTAGAACTGAACTAGACTGAACTAGAACTGAACTAGAACTGAACTAGAACTGAACTAGAACTGAACTAGAACTGAACTAGAACTGAACTAGAACTGAACTAGAACTGAACTAGAACTGAACTAGAACTGAAACTAGAACTGAACTAGAATAGAACTGAACTAGAACTGAACTAGAACTGAACTAGAACTGAACTAGAACTGAACTAGAACTGAACTAGAACTGAACTAGAACTGAACTAGAACTGAACTAGAACTGAACTAGAACTGAACTAGAACTGAACTAGAACTGAACTAGAACTAAACTAGAAATGAACTAGAACTGAACTAAAACTGAACTTTAAAAATAAGCAACTATTGTAAATTTTATAAAACGTATTGCATACTATTATTGTAATTTATATTTAAAATCTATAAACTAGGTGATATATAATTAAATTCCTCAAAAAAAAAACGCTGAAATATTTATATATATTTATGTTAATATCTGGCATCACTGTGTTTAACTATTTTTCTTTTGTATTCGCTTGTGTTTTGCGTTTTGCTTTAACGATTGCAACAACAACAAGAACAACATTTACAAAATTGCTTTTCTCACTCTATCTACCTCTCTCTTCTTTGTCACTTCATTCACTTGTTCCTTTTTTACAACCTTTCATTATATATGTGTTTCTTTTCTCACGTAAATTTTTTTTATTATTATTCAATATTAACTTGCACTATTTACATTTTGATTTATTCATATATACTTTTCCATGTTTAAAATGTTTTTTTAATTATTTTTTGAAATTTGCTTATTTTTCTTTAATATTGTTTTTTTATATACAAACAAAAGATAATTCTCGTCTATTTGCTTTTTTCTTCATATAACACACAAGAGACCCAGCATAGTGCTGCTGTAGTGGTTACTCTTTAAACACTCAATACATTTTTCACACACGGCCATTCATTTATTCTTTTCATATAGAACATTTCTATAATAATTATTTATACACATTTTTTTATTATTATTTATGTAATATGTAGGCAATTTGTTTAAACAAATTATAGTTTATAATTTTTATATTTATTTTTAAGGTATATTTTTAAGGTTTTTATTGTTCACAATTGAAGAAAATCTGAAGCAAAAGTTAGTAACTGCGTTTTGAAACGAGCAATGTACGGGCGACTACTCGTCGTGTGAACAGTTGCATGAAAATGTACTGAAAAGTCAGAGTCGCATTTTATGAAAGTTATACTACTATATAAATAAACGCTATAAAATTTCTATTATAACAATTAGTTATGTAACGAAAGTGTTTAAAGTACTATTGAAATCGGTGAATAATACATATTTGTATATAACAGATTTTTTCTGTAGACAATTTTGTGCATATACTTTTACCAGAAAAAAATGTTTTTAAATAATTTTCTATAGGGAATTTTCTGTATAAAAGATTTCCTATAGAAAATTTTCTATATATGTAAGAGATTTTCTATAATAAATATTGTATATAACAGTTTTTTATAGAAAATTTATGCAAATTAATTGCATATATATTTTTATAATATATTAGATATTATTACTAATATATTAGATTGTTTTACTTAAATGAATAAATAAAAACAATATTTTTATGTATTAAATATTTTCTGCAGAATGTATATAAAAGATTTTCTACAGAAAATTTTGTTTATAAAAGATTTTCTGCAGATGATTATAAAAGGTTTTCTATTTTAAAAATGATCTCTATAATAATTATTTTTAATTAAAAGTATTATTATATAACAGTTTTTCCTTGAAATTTAGTTTGTTACAGTTTTTTGCATTGTTTTCTTAAAATATTAAAATGTAACAGTTTCTCATTATTATTTTTAATATACGAAAATAATCGATAAACTATTACAACCAACTGCCATATCTAATTTAATAAAAAAATGCAACCCTGTAGATAAAGGCCGCCATTTTCCCCCATTGACGAGAGAAAAAACGAAAAAACAATCACTCGTTGGTTCTGCAAAAAAATTATTAGCCGCCGAACAAAATGTCAAAGCCGCCGCCGCCGAAAATTTTTCACCTTAATACGGCTTGAAAATTTAGCCATATTTTGCATAATTTACAGAACACGTTTGCTAAATTTATGGAATTTTACACTATAAAATTAATTTGTTTTCATTTAAGCAAGTTTTCTTTTATCTAATAATAAGCCGCTCATTGAAATTTTGCCGATGTAAAACTTGACAACGTTCAATATATATGCCTCGCCTCAGATATTTTTGTGTTTAATCGCTGTAAGCGAGTCGCTGCTTCTACTTCAAACCAGCTTTGTTGACGTCAACCATTGTTCGTTTGTCTTACCGTAAAAGACTAGGACATCGAACATGTGTATTTAAATGAGAAGTGCAGTTGATGTCAATTCTGCTACAATTTTTGCGCCATTTTTTTCCGCTTTTTTTATTTGCCTAATAATAACACGCGTGATTTTTATTTATTAAATTTAAAATAAATTGTCTAATTAGACGCGTGATTTTTTTGTGTTGTACAAAAATCTAATAAGACGACAGAAGAATATTAAATTCTTAACAAATTTAAGTTAAAATAAATTGTTTTTTCAATTTGAACTTTGAAAGAAATTCTCATAGAATTTTATGCTAATATATAATTTAGTTTATTTTTTTTAAAAGGGTGAAAAATTTTCGGAATATTTTAGTTAAATACCTATAATAAAGAAGAAAATAGTAGTAAGTTATACTTTTTTAAAGGATTGAGCCGCGCTGAGTCCGAATACGAATTCAGATATTCTCCATCACATCATCACATCTGAGATTAGAGACATCGTGCCATTTTCTAAATAATTGAACCTAGAAACATAAAATCAGACATATGGTACCCTGATGGAACGAAAATCTGTAAAATTGAACTCTTTGGTACTTTTTGAATATTTTATAATATTATTAATAAACACGCAGCTTATTGATTGAATAAAAATACACTTTTTGGATAAGGTCTCTCCGAACCAACACGTTTAAAAATTTGAAACTAATATCCCATTTACACATACACGAAATCTAGTACTTATGAGATTTCGAGCCAAATCTGGTTGATTTTAACTAGATTTCCCATACAAAACAAAATCTACTTCGTAACTAGATTTCGATAAAATCTACTCAAAATCTAATAATTTTTAGTGATTCAACTCTGTTTTTTTCCTAAATAATACTAAAAAATACGACGCTACATAAGAAAAACGAGAAAAACAAAACAAACAAAAAAAATAAAATGTCAACAAAATTTTAATAAATTGAAAAACATGAATGAAAAGTTTATTCAAAATAGAAGGTAATGTTATATTTAAATATCTAATTTTTTATTATAAATGAAATGTTAATAAATATTCCATTTTTCCTTCTTATTTTTTATATCAAACATAATCTCTAGAAATACTAGAAAAAATTAAATCTTCCTAAATGCCAAAAATGGTAAAAAAGTGTAAACGGTCTAGATTTTTAAAAAGAATTTAAATGAAATCTACTAGATTTCGTGTATGTGTAAATGGGGTATAAGTTGTTATAACACTTGCCTTTGAAATTTTTTTAAGTTCTAAAGTAAAGCATTTGATATCATACTTACTTTGGTCTTTATTTTCAAGAATTTCAGAGAACAATAAACATATTTGTACAAAAAATTGCTTAAACTTGTATTAGGAATCATTTGTAGTTATATACATACCCATTTTAGTGGCCTAATTAAACAAAATATTTCATTTCTCATAGATTTTGGATTTTCAGTTTTTATTTATTTTGAAGATCAACAATTTATATAAAAATAATACTCGAATTTTGTTTCATTTGAGTTGTGAAGAATTAAGTGATGACGATTATGAAGATTGCTCTGCAGCCCTAATACTAATTCTTCTTAGTAATTTTGAAAATTCATTGACACAAAGACAAAAATCATTCAATTTATTTTTAAAAAGGGATACTTTAGGACAAGCGCTCTTATTAAAAGAGCTTTCAGAAAATCAATTTATAACGTATGCAAGAATTGTCAGAAAAGCATTTGAATATTTAGAAAAATTAATTTCTTTCATTCTTAAAAGCTCTCACATATCTGTAAGAGAACGTCTAGCACTAACACTTCGTTTTTCGGGAAGCGGTTGTAGCTTTACAGACTTTTTAACTGCAATTTCGTCATATTAGTATTATCGTGAAAGATATTTGCCAGGCAATCATACACGCTCTAAGAAATAAGTTTAAAGTAAGTTTTTAATGCATTAAAATAATATATTTATATTTACTAAACTAAAAAATTCAAATTTCGTTCACAGATACCAGAAAATGAAGAGCAATGGAAGGTCGAAGGCCAAAAATTTTATGACCGTTGGCAATTTCCTCATTTCCTTGGAGCAATAGATGGCAAACACATAGAAATAAAAAACCAAAAAAAGCTGAACATCTTATGAATTATAAGGGTAATTATTCAATTATTTTTTGGCTATTACAAACGCCAATAATGAATTCTCAATGCTAATAAATTGGTACAAATGGCGCTATTTGCGATTCTAGATTGCTAAAAAGCGCATCTTTTTATTCGAAATTAGTTGCAAATAAATTAAAAATTCCTTGCCAATAAAATTTACCTAATAGTAATATTCAAGCGTCTTTTGGTTTTTTAGGGGATTCAGCACTTCAAAATTCTGAAAACATTATAACGCCCTATAGTTATTATAGTAAGAGAAAAATAAAATTTAACAATTAAAAATTAAAAAAAAAAAATAAAATTTATCTTATGAAATTTTAAAAATATTTATTAAAAATTTTATTGAAAAAAATTTAATAAAAAAAGGAAAGAAATTGAAATTAAAAAAATAATTGAAAATAAAAAGAAAATTTAAAAAATTAAAATAAAATGGACATAAATTCTTGAGAATTAAAAAAATAGTTAATTTATTATTACTGTTTTTTAACAACTTTTTTATAAAGAAACATCTTAATATTTTAAAAATCCAATTGGTAAATATACCCTTCACCTTCTTAAACAAATTTTTAACAAAATCATACTTTTTCATTCGATGTACATATGTATTTATATTATGAGACCCCAACCAATTAAAATATAATTTTTAATTACATAATTGGCTTTTTGTTAGGAATTTTTCTCTGTGGGATAAAATAAAAAAAAATCGCGAGATTTTTTCAAATAATTATTCACATTTTTTCATTTTTTCTTTTATTTCATCCCACAGAGAAAAATTCCTAACAAAAAGTCAATTATGTATTTAAAAATTATATTTTAATTGGTTGGGGTTAAAATATTATGAAAATCGCAGCCGTTTAGAGTCGGTAAGTTATGCCAATAAGTTTTTTGATTTTAAAAGTTGTTAAAAAAAACAGTAATTATAAATTAACTATTATTTTAATTCTCAAGAATTTATGTCCATTTTATTTTTTTTTTTTCAATTTACTTTTTATTTTTAATTAACTTTTTATTTTTAATTCACTCTTTTAATTTAAATTTCTTTCCTTTTTTATATTTTTTAATTAAAATTTTTAATAAATATTTTTAAAATTTTATAAGAAAAATTTCATTTGTTTTTTTTTAGTTTTTATAATATAAATCTAATTATGTAATTTTTTAATGGATTTACATAAATCATATTAATTAAGATTACTAAAATAATTCTTAAATTTTGTCCGTATACCGTTTTCATTTATATCGCTATCAGGTGTTATGTTAACGGAATCTAAAGTGCCTTGTGACTCTTCATGTAAATGTGAGCGCATTTTTCGTTTTAAAATAAAATTATGCAAATTGCAGCAACAAGTTGCTATTAATTGAGCTTGATCGGGAGTTGCGTTAATTTTTGAACCTAAAATTCTAAAGCGACTAAATCTCAAACGAATTTTCCACAACAACTCTTGCTCTTGAAACATTACGATTATAATGAATTTCATCAACATCAGTACTATAATAACTATAGGGCGTTATCATGTATTCAGAATTTTAAAATCCCCTAAAAAAACAAAAGACGCGTGAATATTACTATTAGGTAAATTTTCTTGGCAAGGAATTAATTTATTTTCAACTAATTTCTAATAAAAAGGTGTGCTTTTTAGCAATCTAGAATCGCCAATTGCTTTTCATTTTCGGGTATCTGTGAACGAATTTTAGTTTTGTAAATATAAATATTT